CAGAGTGGCTACGATGTTAGCCAGCGTGGGCCCAAACCGGCGAATCCCACCAGCACTTTAGGGCGTGAGTGGTCTAAGGAGCTCGTTCTGCTAAACCCCCTTTTTCCCCTTCGGGGAGGGGGTTCCCCCTCCCCCTACCCCCTCCCCCTGGACCTGGAGGGAGGGTGCCGCGAGCGGTTGGAGCGTCCAAGATGGCCCAAGATGGCTCCAAGCGGGTCCCAGAGAGCCCAAGATGGTCTCCAAGATCGCGCAAGATATCCCAAGATGGTTCAAGATAGCTATCAACATGCATCCAAGAGCTCTGGAGACCGCCCCAGGACGGCTCCAAGTGCCTTTCGAGCCCTCCAAGGAAGCCCTCAAGAGGCCAAAATCATTCAAATCCTGTATGTTTTTCCGATGTTTTTTGCATTGTCACCCTTTCGCGCCCGATGGCCTCTTGAGGCCTCAAGATGGCTTCTGGATGGCCCAAGAGGGCCCCAAAAGGGGCCCAGGGGGGCCCCAAGACCGCCCCAAGAACACCCAAGACCGCTCCAAGAGCGGCCCACGAGGGCCCCAAGAGGTTCATTTTCGGGCCCCGACGGGGGGACGCAGTTAAGGACCCCCCCGTCCCCGACTCGACCATGTCCTATTGAATTCCGATTCAAAAACAAATAAATGATTAAGGAATTCCTCCGGCGGCTGGGACTCGACCATTTCCTATCGAATTCCTATTTCAGCGTTCCGAAGGATCCAACCTGTTTATACTAAGTCCCCGCGCAGGTCACTCCGATGCCCCCCCCCCCCCCAGCAGCCCTCGAAAGTGGCGACAGTTTCGCAGACCGCAGCCCCCCCAGGGATGGCGAAGTCAAATCTGTAGGGTCCCTTGGGAATCCTATGGGGTCCCTGAGGAATCCTATGGGTTCCCTTAGGAATCCCACTGGGGATCCTATAGGAATCCTGTTGGAATCCTATAGTAATCCTATGGGATCCCTTAGGAATCCTATGGGATCCCTTAGGAATCCGATGGGATCCCTCAAGAATCCTATAGGATCCCTTAGGAATCCTATAGGATCCCTTAGGAACCCTATGGGGATCCTATAGGAATCGTACGGGAATCCTATGGGATCCCTTAGGAATCCTATGGGATCCCTTGGGAATCCTATGGGGTCCCTGAGGAATCCTACTGGGATCCTATGGGAATCCTATTGGAATCCTATAGGCATCCTATGGGATCCCTTAGGATTCCTATGAGATCCCTTAGGAATCCGATGGGATCCCTGAGGAATCCTATAGGATCCCTTAGGAATCCTATAGGATCCCTTAGGAATCCTATGCGGATCCTATAGGAATCGTATGGGAATCCTATGGGCTCCCTTAGGAATCCTATGGGGATCCCTTGGGAATCCTATGGGGCCCCTTAGGAATCCTATGGGATCCCTGAGGAATCCTATAGGATCCCATGGGATCCCTTAGGAATCCTATGGAATCCCTAAGGAATCCTACAGGATCCCTTAGGAATCCTATGGGGTCCCTTAGGAATCCTATGGGAGCCCTTAGGAATCCTATGGGATCCCTGAGGAATCCTGTAGGGTCCCTTGGGAATCCGATGGGGTCCCTGAGGAATCCTATGGGATCCCTTAGGAATCCTACTGGAATCCTATAGGAATCCTATGCGGATCCTAAAGGAATCGTATGGGAATCCTATGGGATCCCTTAGGAATCCTATGGGGATCCTATGGGTATCCCTTAGGTACCCTGAGGAATCCTATGGGATCCCTGAGGAAGCCTATGGGATCCCTTAGGAATCCTATAGGAATCGTATAGGAATCCTATGGGATCCCTAAGGAATCCTATAGGAATCGTATAGGAAACCTATGGGATCCCTAAGGAATCCTATGGGATCCCTGAGGAATCCGATAGGGATCCCTCAGGAATCCTATGGGATCCTACCAGGACCCCTTCCGCGGCCGCGGAAGGGTTGCTGGGGTTGCTGGGGTTGCTGGGGTCCCCCCGGGCCGGTCTAATCGTCCTCATTCAACAACAACCACAGCAACAACAACACCAGCAACAACAACAACAACAACAACAACCATCAGGTTACCCTCACGCGCGATGTTTCCACACGAAGCATGCGACCATCATGGTAGCCATCCTCATCATGGTGGGACTATTGTTCTATAGCGGGGTCCGTGACTCCCATTCCCAGATATCCCGCCCAATGAGGTCTTGCAAACACCTCCTCCGAGGAATTTCAACATATCCCGCTTTGAAAACGCATGCCCGCGCCTTGCTGCGCCGATGCGGGACCGCCAGTGGAGCCCCAGCCAAGGGTAAAGCACAAGGAAGTATCGAGCGACAGAATTGCCTTGGTGGGGATGGGGGCTGTCGGCGGCGAGGCAAGGACCTGGCCCTGAATAGAAAAGGAGGAAGTCTCGAGCAAGGCCGCTGTTGTTGCTGGGAGCGGCGCCGGTGCTGAAGAGAGTAGGGCGCTAGTCCAGCTTTAAACAAAACGAAGTCTCGAGCGGGAACGCTGGTTTTGTTGGGACGGCGGTTGTCGGCGGCGAGGAGGAACACCGCCTTGGGCAAGAAGGGAGGAAGTCTCGAGCGGGAGCCGTGGTTTTGTCGGGACGGGGGCTGTCGGCGGCGTGCCTTCATTCCCACCCTCTCCCCTTCTCTCCTGCCCCTCACCTCGCTCCCTCTTGCGTGCCAGCTTGCCTCCTACCTGGCCATCCAGGGGGGGGGCTGGGATCTGCGAAAATGTAGCCACTTTCGAGGGCTGCTGGGGGGTCCAGCGGAGCGACGTCCCACGCGGACTCAAATTAGACATCACCATCCCTGGGGGGCTGCGATTTGCGAAACTGTCGCCACTTTCGAGGGCTGCTGAGGGGTCCAGCGGAGCGACGTCCCACGCGGACCTAGACTAGACCTAGCCATCCCTGGGGCGGTGCGATCTGCGAAACGGTCGCCACTTTCGAAGGTTGTTGGGGGGGTCCAGCATAGCGACGTCCCACGCGGATTCAAATTAGACCTCGCCATCCCGGGGGGCTGCGATCTGCGAAACCGCCGCCACTTTCGAGGGGCGCTGGGGGGTCCAGTGGAGTGAAATCCCCCGCGGATTCTAATTAGACCTCGCTATCCCTGGGGGGCTGCGATCTGCGAAATTGTCGCAGTTTCGGAGGGTGCTGTTGAGTGTCGAGCGTAGCGACGTCCCACGCGGATTCAAATTAGACCTCGCCATCCCCGGGGGCCGCGATCTGCGAAACTGCTGCCACTTTCGAGGGGCGCCGGGGGGTCCAGTGGAGTGAAATCGCCCGCGGATTCTAATTAGACCTCGCTATCCCTGGGGGGCTGCGATCTGCGAAATTGTCGCAGTTTCGGGGGGTGCTGTTGAGGGTCCAGCGTAGCGACGTCCCACGCGGACTCAAGTTACACCTCGCCATCCCTGGGGGGATGCAAGCTGCGCACAAGTGATGTGTCTCACTGCTTCTGTCCAATCCGATTGTTTTCTGTGCTTCAAAAACGGTACTCCCGCTGGAGCGTGGGCCTCATTTTCGGATCGGCGCTTTGCTCCCGTCGTTCAGAATGGCGCTCTCGCCCCAGTGCGGGCCAGTCTTCTGGATCCGAGTACTTCTCCATCGTTGTCGCCCCCCTCCTTTCCCCTCCTCCGCATTCCTCTGGTCCTTCTGCTCCTCCCTCTCCTTCCACACCAATTCCCGCTGCTGCTGTTCGGCCTTGTTCTCCTCCTCCTTCCTCATCCTCCTTCTTTTCCTCCTGCTCAGCTCCTACTTTCCGATTGCGCATAGCACGATGGGGTCTTTTCGGGTGTTCCAGGTCTGCCATGACACGTGTCCGCGGATAGAGAAAGAATCAGCTAAGTGGGACGGGATAAGTAGAAGGGGTAGGACTGTTTGGCGCGAGCGCACCTACGCAGCTTGCTTCCCCATCTCACCTCCCTCCTCCCTGCTCCCTCCTTCCCATTCCCCCCCCTTCTCCTTATTCTCCTCATCCCCCTCCTCCGCCCACTCCTGCCCCTCCTCCCCTTCGCCGCATCCTCCTCCTCCTCCATCTCCTCCTCCTCCTCCTCCCACCTCCTCCCTCCTACCTCCTGCCTCCTGCTTCCCGAGCCTCGAGGTGTCGACAGAAACAGCAACAACAGCAGCACCAACAAACACGCCCGCGCCGAGACCGGGCCCCGCCGGCGGGCACTGCCGCTCGCTCGGGCCGCAGAGGGCGGCGGCGCGCGAGCGGGTCACGCCGAAGACGCGGTGGCAGCCGAGGCGCGGTGGCCGAGGAACTCGGAGCAGGCTTTTCGGCAGGGGCCCCGAGGATGCAGGGTATGGCCTGCTACAATTCGGCGCTGGACAAACCTCCCTTTAGTAGACCTCCCCTTAGTGAAAACGGCCTGGGACCGAAACCGACGGACCTGGACCCGCAAAAATGACGGCCGCGACGCCCTCTCGCGAACCGAAAAAGGCCAGTTCCTTAATCGACGTGTCATTGTAGGAGGTGTGTCCACCCCCGAACAGTGAGCACAGACGGTAAGAACTCCGGCTGCCAATAAATCTTGGGACTCGTGCTCTGTCGATCTCTGGGGGCCCCAGGGTGTCCCAGAACTTCTGTGGGCCTCTGGGGCCATCGGTGGGCAAGAAATGTGCGTGGGGCACCTGCTGGCGGGCCGACCTCTGCTGCTTCTTCCCTTGCTTCTTCTTCTTCTCCTTCTCAGAATGGTGACTCTTACTTATGCTTCTCTTCCCTTACGTATCATTATTCCCTTACTTATTATTATTATCCCTTACTTATTCGTCGTACCATAATCGTTGTACTATGAGTACTACTGCTGCTGCAAAGTAGTAGTAGCATGAGCATTATTGATAGTAATCGTATGTTTCTGAATGCGATTGTGATGAGGATTCTTACTGTTGTTCGACGCGCGTGCTGTAGAGGAGCCCACGGACCTAGGATCGGGCTTTCGAGAGGAGCGCAAGCACTCGGGGAGATACCTCAGAGACCCCCCCCCCCTCCTCGCGGGCCTCCAGCGGCGCCGCCTCCCCCTTCGCCGAGCACGCGGCGCCCGCCTGGGCCGAAGGGGCTTCGGGCGGCCGCTGGCCCTCCGGCAGCCCCCCCGGGGGGCGCCCGCCCCGCCCCTGCGGAGCCGCGGCCCGTCCGGCCCTCTGAGTCACCGCCTCGCTCCGCGCGCTCCTGGACGGGGAGGAGGAGGAGGACGAAAAGGCGGGCACAGAGAGGGAGGAGGAGGAGGAGGAGGAGGAGGAGGAGGAGGAGGAGGAGGAAGAAGAGCTCGCTTGCTTCTTTGCACACGGCTCTTGGACACGAACGAACACGCTCTACAACCTGTGCTGTCTCTCTCTCTCTCTCTCTCCCTCTTCCTGCATCAGGGGCGCTGCATGTGTGCTATGAAAACCAGACCAAGGGCCACGTTCTGCAGTCGGACGGGGAAGGTGAGGAAAGGAATGGGAGGAGGAAGAGCGACGGTGGTGAGGCCCAACAGAAGCCGTGGCCCGAAGCTGACAGCGGCTGCTGTCAAGCGGACTACACTCGCCACCACGTGGGCAAGGTTCGCAGCGGAGGAGACAGCCAGCCCTGACCCAAAAGAGGCCCGTCTCAGAACCATGTTGAGCTAAACACTCATTATGGCACACACGCACGAACCAAATCGACTGAACTTGAACGTTGAAGTTCGGGCATTGTGTGGACTGACTTGTAGACCATCCTGGAATGCATGTTGGGGAATAACGGCTAGGGAGATATGGACGAGGGCGGGCCAGGGAGTCGACGACGAACAACATTAAAAGGACATAGCGAACGTGAACCCGGCGCGACACCGATTGGGGGCTTTGCCATTGTAGGGAAACGTTTGTAACGCAACGCAACGAGGTGAGACACAATGAAGTGCCATGCAATGAAATGCCCAGCACAGCATAGCAATGCACAATATAGCTCCGACTAGCGACTGGCATATCATGGTACAGCAGCGTGGGACGGCATCATCTATCCTATCATAGCGTAGAAGGTCAGACCATAGCATCGACCAAGGTCATCTATCCTATCATAGCGTAGAAGGTCTATCCTATCATAGCGTATAGGCATAGTGTACGACACCATGGCATGGCATCTCACATTATCGAATCGTATGCCAGGTGTATCAGCATAGCACAGCATTACATAGCATGGCATCGAATAGCACATACGACCGTTGCACATCATCGTACCACCTTACATGGTGTAGCGCAGCACGTCTTCGCATAGTGTAGCATAGTACCATACAGCATCAGGATAGCATGCCATGCTGCAGCATTAAAGTAATGCGTAGCATCGCATGGCCCTAAATACGTTAGCAGTGCGTCCCACAGCAATTAACTAACACAGCATGCCATACCTGGCCTAACACTGCACACTACTAGCGCGAGTGTAGCCAAGCATGGCGCGGCATTGCATTAATATGGTACCATATGGCATAGCACAGCATAAACATGCACAAACCCTGTGCGGGCCAACAGCGCCCATGTCAGCGGCAACCTGCCTGCCAGGGACTGACAGACAGCGCTTCGCATCGCAAAGCGACTGCCCAGCCCTCTTGGCAGGTCTGGCCACGGACCAGGAGGCCTCCGAGCTCGCGAGCTCGAGGGCACAGCGGAGCAAGAGGACGAGGGGCTCCAAGGCTGAGCCTGGGGCTGGGGTTGGGGCTGGGCCTGGGACTGGGCCTGGGCCTGGGGGGCGCCAGGGCCACGACACGGCGAAAGCGGCGGCAAGAAGACAAGACGCTCAGGGGGTGGGCCTGGCCCGGCTGCGGGGTGGAGGTCGGGCACATCGGGCTGGGACGGCACGGGAGGCACCAGAAGCTGGGCCTGGGGGCACGTTTCGGATTGTACCTACAGGGGCGCCAGGACAGCCGCGTCCGATCAGAGAGCACGCAAGGCATTGAGCCAACTACGCTGTCAGTGTTGCGATATGCTGCACAGGGCAGGGGAGGAGGCAGCGGACGAGGAGGGAGAGGAGAGGCGAAGGCAGCGACCAAGGCGGCAAGAGCGATTACGAGGGCGCGGGGGCTGCTGGAGTGGGTGCTGGGGTGGGGCGGCGGCGGCGGCTGGGGCAGGGCGACCGGGGGGAGTGGGTGGAGGGCGGCAGCGACGGCACGAGATCCATGGGCTCCAGGCCACGTGCGCGTGGGTGCGGAGGAGACGCGGCGGAAACCGGTGCCGGTCGCCGCCCCCGCGCTCGCGTCGCCCTCGCCGGCTCCAGGAGCTCTGCGCGCAGCAGTGTCGACGCCTCTTGGCGAGCGGGCTCTCTCTCGCGCTGGCTCCCGCCAAGCTTCCGCAGGCAGAGCCGCCGCCGTGCTGCATCCCGCCGCGCTCCGCCGAGGGAGAAATGTCAGTAGTAACATTCTACTGGCGAAGCTTTCGGCGACAAAACGCCAATCAAAAAATAAACGATTTCAACTAAAAATGAATGGCGTAGCGTTGGTAGAGGCGCAACTATCCGATTGTGAAAGCATGCGAGCCCGCGCGATGCTTCACGCCCAAGTAGGCTACTCCGAGAGAGGTGCGAGCAGCACGGTTGGCACGAACGAAATCGAAAACAAGTCGACCGCGAAGAACGACGATGCGAACACGACCAGGAAAAGAAATACAATTCGCAAGGGCGAAACATTAAAACTAAACTCCGGGCAAATAGCAATGCGACGGCGGCAATCAAGGCAAGCGTAACTTCACTAGTTAACCGCTGAAGGTCGCGCAAACAAGCGCTAGGCCGAACAAAAACACCTGATATTACCACGAAGCCCGACCTGTGGAGCTTGGCATTTCAAATGCCAAGCTCCACAGACAGCCGAAGCCTTACTGTGTTCAGCACGGGGCCCCCGGAATTCCCGACCCTCTCCCAGGGCCAGCTTCTCATCCCGAGCCGTCTTGTGGGCCGTCCCGTAGGGGGCCGGCGAGGGCCCCCAGAGGCCGACAGTAGCAAAAACCTCTGGTCGGGATGTTTTCGTGGATCTGGACCCCTCGATGGCGAGGCCCTTTGTGAAATTTTGTGAAGCGCCCCTCTCGTTCTCGGGCGCCTCGACCGCCGGAATTTTCAGGAGGAGGAGGAGTAGGAGGAGAAAGTGCAAACCCAAGAGTCATCAACGATGTTGGAATTAACACTCCCTCCAAGCTCCCTCTTCATAGGCCCCTACAACGGTTCATTTCCATTGAGGGAACTGCCTCCATGGAAGATAACAGTTTAAAGATCCTGTCACATGCCACAGCATTGCTCTCGGGACTGCAACGCCACGTATCAACCTGACTGCGTTTTGGCGATCTGGAATCGCGCCATAACGACATATTTTTGATTTCAACTCCGCGAACGAACATAATTGTTGCACCCGCATAACCCTGAATCCTTCCAAAACACAGATTTTGATACGCTGATCACGGGAACCCGTGAAACTCTTGCAGCTTTGTTCAACGAATGCGCGGCGCTAAAGCGAGAGCCACATTTTGAAAACCAGCCGCCTTCAATCCGTGAAACTCTTGCAAAAGTTTATTTGCTAAAAAGTGCGCGGCGCTGAAGCGAGAACCACATTTGAAAAACCACCCGCCCTCAATCCGTGAAACTCTTCCAATTTTGTACAACGAATGTGCGCGGCGCTAAAGCGAGAGCCACATTTTGAAAACCACCCGCCCTCAATCCGTGAAACTCTTGCAAGTGTTTACAAAAAAAGTGCGCGGCGCTAAAGCGAGAACCACAATTGAAAAACCACCCGCCCTCAATCCGTGAAACTCTTGCAAATGTTGAAAGCAAATGTGCGAGTCGCTGAGGCGAGAGCCACATTTTGAAAATCACCCGCCCTCTGTCCGCGAAACAAGCGTCACTTCTTAAGCTTCAGAATCACAAATGGTGAGGAGGTATCAGGCGAAACGCCCGGCCCGCCCAGAAAAGTGGCCTCGGGGTGCGACAGGGAGAAGTTATCCTTAAGGAGAAGGAATGGAGGAGGAGGAGGAGGAGGAGGAGGAGGAGGAAGAGGGGAAGGAGCAGGAGGAGGAGGAGGAGAGTGGATCCCTGCGCCCCTCTCCCCGGACCCCTCCTCTGCCCCCCGCCGCCTCTGGGCGCGGCTCGGCTGCGTCGGCGAGCCTCGGGAGGAGAAGGGGGCTCGGCGCGCCCGCCTGCCCCCGGCCGGCGTGCCCTCGGGGAAGGAGGGGAGGGGGGAGGGCCGAGGCCAAGACCGAGGCGGCTCCAAGGCAGAGGCGGGGCACAGAAGCTGAAGGCCCACAGCGAGCCAAGGCATGGTCCCCACGAGGGGCGAGGCCCAACCCAGCCCCGACCGTTCTGGCGGGGCCCTCTTCTGGAGGGAGTCACCCCCGCCGAGGAGGGGAGCGCAGGGAGGAGGAGAAGCAGCGGCAGGAGGATGGGCAGAGGAGAACAAGAACGAGAGAAAAGGCAGGATCCGAGAAAGGGGGCAGTACTCATGATAACGGTGCAGCGATGACGAGAACGACAAGGATAATAATCAAAACAATGTTGGTATGTCAAATGACTGCAAGACGTGCGAACATAGGAGCGAGGAGGGAGGAGCGATAACGGAAGAACCGAAAGAACATCTGAATTGGCTTAGGCTGATTTCGATACGTTGCGTGTTTGTGCTGAACGAGACAAGGTTGAGCTTGGCACATTGTGTTGAGGTCTCCTCAGCATGGCGATGCCGCCGCCCACGCATTCTCATCATCAGCAGCAGCACTCTCCACTAACTCCCCCCTCCTGCTCCTCAACATACTCATAAGCATCATCCTCATCCACCTGTTCTAACTTAATTATCCTCACCCCTCCTCCTCCCTCCGCTCACCTCCCCATCATCATCCTTACCATCCTCCACATCCTCATCCTTGTTTTCAATATACGCGTTCCTCCTCTTCCTCCTCCTTCTCCGCCGCCGCCTCCTCCTCTTCAACCACATCCTCACCCTCCTCATCATCCCACAACTATTCCTCCCCAAGCTCCTGCTTGCACGCATCCGTTTTCTCATCCTGCTTACTAGCGCCCACAGCATCGCAATCATAATGATCATCGTCAGCATCAGCAGCAGCATCATCAGCTTCAGCATCAGCAGCAGCATCATTATCACCAGCAGCAGCAACAGCATCATCAGCATCATCATCATCAGCAGCAGCAGCATCCTATCATCTCATATTCCTCATCCTCCTTCTCATCGTCCTTATCATCACCATCACCGCCACCACCATCATCATCATCAGCATCAGCACCACTACCATCATCAGCATCGTCATCGGCGGCACCTTCATCGCCATCATAATCACAAGCATCATCACAATCCGAATCCAACATCATCATCGTCATCATCGTCACCAGCATCGTCATAGTCATCGTCATCGGCATCACCATCATCATAAGCAGCAGCATCAGCATCAGCATCATCATCAGCCGTAGCATCAGCATCAGCAGCATCAGCCGCATCAGTATCATCATCAGCATCATCAGCATCACCATCAGTATCGTCAACATCATCATCAGCATCATCATCTACGCGATTGCATTAGCATCACCACCACCGTTAACCTCAACAATATCATCCACATCAGCGCCATCATCGTTAACAGCATGACCGACATCATCATCATCATCATCATCATCATCATCATCATCATCATCATCATCATCATCATCATCATCATCATCATCAGCAGCAGCATTATCATCAGCAGCAGCATCATCCTCATCATCATCATCATCAACATCATCATTAGCATCGTCATCAACAGCAACACCGTCATCACTCATCATCATAATCGGAATCGCCAGCATCATCAGCATTATCATCACCAACAGCATCATCATCATCATCATCAGCGTCATCATCATCAGCGTCATCATCATCAGCGTCATCATCATCATCATCATCGTCATCATCATCAACATCATCATCCGCATCATCATCACCATCATCACCATCATCACCATCGCAATAATTATCGTCATCGCCATTATCATAATTATCTCCATCGTCCTCGTCCTTACCACCATGCGACATCACAACCACCAGCAGAATCCTCACGCCCACGACAACCATCATCGCCATCCTCCCTAGTCCTCCCTCCTCCTCCTCATCCTTATCCTCCTCCTCCTTCCTCCTCCTCCCCCGTACATTGCACCTCATCCCGACTGGTCGCCGTCCAGCCGGACGTTGACCGGAGGCCCAGAGGCAGCACGCGAACAGCAAGCAGCCCACTGGCCCAGGGCGGCTGACTGGGCCTTCACCCCCCCCTCTCTCTCAACTGTTGTCTCGATCTCTCCGTCAACCTCCCCTCCCCCTTCTCAACCTCGTCTCACATCCCCATCCGCCTCCTCAACCTCTGGCTCCTCACCCTACCCCCAACCTCCTCAGCATCTTTTTCCTCCTCCATGACCTCACCTCACCCCTGTCCCCCTGCCCCCTCACCCCACCCCCCTCAACATCTGCATCCGGTTCCTCCTCCTCCTCCTCCTCCTCCTCCTCCTCGTCCTCCTCCACCTGCGCACGTCCCGTCGGAACAAGAATGCCGTGGTGCCCACATCGACATGCACGCGGATGAAGGACCCTACCAGGAGGAAGGCGAAGCGGTTCGGAGAATGGGCGATCTTGAGGCGCAGATGCTCTGCACGTCAGGGACATGAACGACGCGTTGCCAGTGACAAACGTGCTGGCAACGGACCACAGGCGACCTTGCCCGGCTCCGTCGGGGCCAGCTGCGCCGCTGGGTCAAGGTTCGCGGGGGGTCACGTCCCCGCGGGGCCGAGTGCCTGCTGTGCGGCAGCAGGGCGCCGTACAGGGCGCTCGGTGTCACAGGGCGGCCACGCCCCTTTGGCGACGGTGGCCTGCCGTTTCGTGGCAGGGGCGCCGTACAGGGCGCGGAGCGGCGCATGGCCGGACAGCGACTGGCTACAGCGCGGCGCGGTGCCTGCGTGCGTTGCAGGGCGCTGACTGCAACGCCAAACGCGCGATCGCCCGCCCTCCCGCTTCGCGAGACGACGCGCGCGCAGACGCGGAGAGGGAATCTTGCTCGACCAGCGCAGGGCCGCTACTGTCGCACCTCCCGCGCCCCGAGCCAGCGGCCGGCGCGGAAGTTTCGGGGGGTGCTCAAGGGGTCGTCTCCTCGTGCCTCCATGGTGGACTGGGGGTACATTCGCACCCCTGATGCTGGGGAAAAGCATCGAGATACGTCGCAGGATAGAAGAAGGGAGCACGAAGGGGGGTTAGCCGCCCTTCTCCTCCTCCTCCTCCTCCTCCTCCTCCTTCTCCTCCTTCTCCTCCTCCTCCTCCTCCTCCTCCTCCTCCTCCTCCTCCTCCTCCTCCTCCTCCTGAGGCCCCGAGTTGGCACACGAACAGCAAAAATAAGCCGCACGCCCGCGAACAAGGTCCGCCGGCGCGAGCCAGCTCGGCAGGACTGGCACCTGCGGACTGGCCGAGGGGAGCGAGGGAAGAGCGGGAGCGTAATTAAGAGGGGAGCGGGGGCCCAGGAGGGCACCACCCGTGCACCTGTACCAACCCTAAGCCCAGGACTGGCCTGGCCAGGATTAATGCGGCTGTACAGCCGGCATCTTCCGATGAGAATGAGCGTGAGCAGAAGGGGGCTCATGACCACGAGCAGGAACAGGAGCAATTGAAGGAGCAGGAGCAGGAGCATGAGGAGCAATCACGATTCCGCCAGCCCTCTGGGCGTAGGTGGTATATCGGAGCAGCGTTTCCAAGAGAGCCCTCCCTCCCCGCCTGGGAGATAGCAAGCATGCCCCCGCGCCGCAGCACGGCAAATCCGGCACGGGTGCCGCCCGTGGCCAGCCGCGAGCAGAAGGAGAGGCGGCACGTGGCCGATGCCGGGAGCCCAGGAACGGACAAAACGCTGACATCTCTTGGGAGCGCATCTTTTCCTCCCGCTGGCCTCCGCCGGCCCGCCTCTGGTTTCCGCTGGCGGAAGCGACCGGGGATCTCCTGACCCGGGTCAACCCAGACCCGGGTCAGCCAGGGCTTGCAGAATCCTGCAAGATCCTGCAAGACCCTGCACCCAAACCCGGGTCCATGCGAAGGATCCTGCAAAAACCCTGCAGGATCCTGCACCCAGACCCGGGCCAATGGGAGCCTGGCCCTGCAGGATCCTGCAAGCTCTGGCGCTCTGGCGGGCCCCCGTTTGCACTGACCCCCGTCTCGAGGCTCTCCCGACCCGTCCCTTCTCTCTGCCCCCCGGGCTCGTGGGGGGGGGGGGGGCAACGATAGGGGGGACTGGCATAGGGGAGGGAGGAGGAGGAGGAGGGAGGAGGAGGAGGAGGAGAGGAGGGGAGGAGGAGGAGGAGGAGGAGAGGAGGAGGAGGAGGGAGGAGGAGGAGCGGAGGAGGAGGAGGAGGAGGGAGGAGGGAGGAGGAGGGGGAGGAGGGAGGAGGAGGAGGAGGGAGGAGGGAGGAGGGAGGAGGAGGAGGAGGACGAGGAGGAGGAGGAGGGGGAGGAGGAGGAGGAGGAGGAGGAGGAGGAGGGAGGGAGGGAGGGAGGAGGGAGGAGGGAGGAGGGAGGAGGGAGGATGCTGAAGCTTGTCTGGGCTGCTTTTGGGCCGATATGCCCGTGGGGGGGCCCTCGGAGCCTCCGGGGTCGCCTTTGGGCAGGTTTGGGGCATGTCTGATGATCCCCTTCTGGGTGGGTCTCGGATCTGAGGTTTTGTGCGAGACGCTGCGGGCCTTCATGTACTTGTTGACTTAGCTGCCCCGATACGCAACACGCAACACGTATCGTATTGATATGGAGCTCAACACGTAGGCTGAAAACGTAGGTCCGACGCGATACACTCGCCAAAACGTGGTCCAATACGTGGAGCCGACACGCAACGTATCGACACGGACGTCTTGAACACGGGACGTATTGCGTTTCAAAACGGGCGTGTCGAGGCAACTTGTTGACTGTGCCTGGGAGCCTTGAGGGCCCTCCTGGGCCTCTCTTGGGCCCCCTCGGGCCATCTTGGGGCGATACTGAAACCTCAGAGGCCCACAAAGGCGAGAAGCCGTAAGTTAATTATTCACTGCGTGGAGCTCCCCATATGTGCATCTACTCGCATGGACCTGTCCGCCGTGAGTGTCTAGGCGCAAGAGCTTTCGAATATTAACGGGCTTCAGTTGTGACGGTCTGGACATCAATCTAACTGCGAATGAATTGGAGTGTGAATGAGCCTCAGTAGTACGAGCGCGTCTCTGTGCATGAGCCTGGGGCCTCCTGGGGCCTCCTGAAACCTACTGGGGCTTCCTGGGGTCTCCAGGAGCCTCTTGGGACCTCCTGGGACCTCCTAGGAAGGTTTCGTGCCCCAGGAGAGGCGCAATCTATAGCAACAGACGTACATAAACATTGCGGATTAGAGCCACAGGAGAAGGGCAATCTATAGGAACACGCGTAAAACACCAAGGACTCGTGCCCCAGGAGAGGCCCAATATATAGGAACATGAATAAAACATTTAGGATTGTGTACACAGGAGAAGGACCATCTATAGAAACATACGTAGAACATCAAAGAATCGTGCTCCAGGTGAGGCCCAATCGATAGGAGCATACGTAAAACACATGGGATTGGAGCCACTCCTGTTGCCTTCTGAGGCCTCCTGCTCCTGGGGCCTCTCGGGGCCTCCTGTTGCCTTCCGAGGCCTCCTGGCGCTTCCTGTTGCCTCCTGGGGCCTCCTGTGGTTTCCTGAGGCCTTCTGGAGCTTCCTGGGGCCTCCTGGAGCCTCTTGGGACATCCTGTGGCCTCTTGAGTCTTTCTGTGGCCTCCTGATGCCTCCTGGGACCTCATGTGGTCTCCTGGGGCCTCCTGGAGCCTGTTGGAGCCTCCTGTGGCATCCTGAGAAGAATCTGCGCCCACGAGCCTGGCCACCAAAACAAGCAAACCGATCGAGACATCCTCAAAATCTGGCCCACCTGGGGGGTGAAAATGAGCGCCTCGCTCGAGACATCCTCCAAATCTGCTCCGAAAGCGAAGGATGTTGGCCCAGAAACAAGCAAACCGCCTGAGACATCCCCACAAAATGGCCGCGAACGAGCCCGTGCAACCACCCCTGGCGGCTCCCCTTAGGGCCACGAGACTGGCCACCAAAACAAGCAAACCGATCGAGACATCCTCAAAATCTGGCCCACCTGGGGGGTGAAAATGAGCGCCTCGCTCGAGACATCCTCCAAATCTGCTCCGAAAGCGAAGGATGTTGGGCCCAGAAACAAGCAAACCGCCTGAGACATCCCCACAAAATGGCCGCGAACGAGCCCGTGCAACCACCCCTGGCGGCTCCCCTTAGGGGTGCTGAAACCAGCGCCCCGCCTGAGACATCCTCACAATCTGCTCTCCAAGCGAAGGATGTTGGGCCCAGAAACAAGCAAACCGCCTGAGACATCCCCACAAAATGGCCGCGAACGAGCCCGTGCAACCACCCCTGGCGGCTCCCCTTAGGGGTGCTGAAACCAGCGCCCCGCTTGAGACATCCTCCAAATCTGATGTGTGTTGAGTAAGTCTGAGTATGAGTAGGTCTGAGTATGAGTATGCCTGAGTATGAGTAAGTCTGTGTATGAGTAAGCCTGTGTATGAGTAAGTCTGGGATGAGTAGGTCTGTGTATGAGAAAGTCTGTGTATGCGTACGTCTGGGTATGAGTAAGTCTGAGTATGACTAATACTGTGTATGAGTAAGTCTGGGTTAAGTACGACAGGAGGGGAGGAGAAAAGAGGAGGAGGGAGGAGAAGGAGGAGTAGGAGGCGTCCAAGTAATAACAAGAACCCCGTCTTAGGATATGGGGAAAAATATGTGTTTGACCGTTTCGAGCAGACTCTAAGCATCTCCAGGGCCACGCCAGAGCCATCTTGGAGCCTTCTTGGACCTCTGCGAGTCGCGCTGGAGTCGCCCTGGGCCAGCATGCATGGCCAATCGGGAGACATTGGAGACCTGCCTTGCCTTGTCCTGCCCTCTGGCCTTGCCAATTCCATAACAGGAGCGGAGGCGCATTGATGGCCATTTCTAACGCTGGGACGGGCTGATCCACACTATAAAGGGCGCGCCCTCTCCTGGGGTATTACAACGGTTTCGCGAAGAGTTGAATCGCCAAAGATAGCCCCAGATGGGTCCAAGATGGCTCCAGATAGCCCGAGATGGCCTCCACGATAGCGCCAAATGGCCAAACATCGTCCCAAGTAGACCCGAACATGGCTCAAGGTGGCCACGGTGCATCTCAAAGATCCCCCCGAGAGCGAGCGAGCGAGCGAGCGTCCACCGGGCCCCGCTGGTCGCGGGGCCGCGCCCGTTTGGGCGGGACGCAGAGAAAATGTGAAACCATGCGCACGTACTATCACTTCGCGCTCACGCATTGGATCTCCATGCTCTGCCACGTCGCACTTTGCTTCGCAGTGTTGAGCCGAGCGGTATCGTTCATGTCGCCACGCGCTCTCTGTTGAGTACCCGATATGGCGTCGTCACACACAGATTTGCCAAGAAACGTCCGGATCTCGTCGTCCCACCGTTTATGTTGACCACCGTGTTTGCGATAAACTGCTTTATTTGCCGTGTGGCTGGGGTGCCACTGTACCGCTCTTTGTGTCCATCTTGTCACGGGGTGCGCTGCCACCTGCGCCGCGAGCCTCCAGTGTAACCGGCGCTGCTCTGTCACCCAATCCTTGATGTTGTGCAGCCGCATGAGGTGTTCTGCACGACGTGTCGACCGTCGAATAAAATCGACCCAAGGCTCCTCACTGTCCGCGTCGCTGTCACTCTCTGCGTCGCTTGGTGGGGGGGCTCTGGGTGGTGGTGCATTGCTGTCGATGTCAGAGTCGTCGGTTGTGCTCGATTGGTCTGCGCCGGCCGTGCTTGCATTCGATTGTAAGTGAGCCGCCGTCGAAGCTGCGAGAGAAGGGGCGCCAGTGTCGTAAATACGGCGAGCTCGTGCTACACGCCGCCGCGGTGCACTCACAATCATGCGAAGCATTCTCTTCTCAGTCCTGCGCAGCTGTTGCTTGAGAGGCTCTGTCAGCGCCCACGTAGCTGAGCCGTACAACGCCGTGGGACCAACGGTCCTTTGGAAAAGCCGGAGTCGGTGTTCGAGTGGATAATGTTTGCTTGTTAGCTCCTGCCGGTTTGCTGTAAATGTCGCCCACGCTGCCGAGATGCGGTGGTTCACCTCGGTCCGTGCTGGCTCATGAAAGCTGATCACTTGGCCGAGGTACTTGACCGCCCCCGCGTACGGTGGGATCCCAATTTTCATGCCGCCGATGTCCACATTTGGGCCTCTGCATCTCCCAGCCCGGCGGGTGAAATTAGGCATTATCTTTGTTTTCGCCGGGTGTAACAGAAGACCATGTTGTTTGGCAGCCCCACTGATACCGCCCAACATCTCCGTGAGTCCTTGTAACGACTGGCTTGTCAAAAGCACATCGTCTGCACAACGAAGGTTT